GCTAGTGAATAATGGACAAGGTCTTCCAATCAGAAATCAGGGACATGCTCGAAGTATACATGAACGACATGATCGTAAAATCCCAAGAGGAATCTGATCATAGGCTCCACTTGCAAAAAGTCATCGACCAAGCAAGGAAGTACAAAATGTGATTTAACCCGGAGTAGTGCACCTTTGGCGTATGGGCAGGAAAGTTCCTCGTCTTCTACCTCACTGAGAGGGGGATAAAGGCCAACCCCGAAAAATGTCGAGCATGTTTTGAGTTCCCCATGCCAAAGTCGAAGAAGTCCATACAATCCATCAATGGGATGCTTATTTCGTTATCCCGCTTCGTAGCCAAGTTTGCCATTCTTCAAGTTTCTACAAAAAGAGATAACATTCAAATGGGCAGAGGAATGCGAGCATACTCTGCTCCACCTCAAGCAAGCCTTGTTAGAACCACCAGTTATGTCACGACCAGACAGCGAGTAGACGTTTTACTTTTATCTCTCTGTCACTAACGAGGCCATTAATGTTTCCCTCATCTGGAAGACTCTCGAAGGGCAGAAACCGATATATTTCATAAGTAAGGCCTTGCAAGGGCCAGAAATCTGATACCAGTAGATCGAAAAAGTTGCCCTGACCCTCATTAACGCTGCAAGAAGATTTAGGCATTACTTATTGGCACACACAATAGTTGTACGAACATATCAACCCATATGACAACTGCTTGGCCGACCATATATGGCTGGCAAGATGTTTAAATGGTCTCTAGAACTATCAGAGTTTGACATTCATTACGAAATCAATAAAGCCTGTAAGACACAAGTCCTAGTCGACTTCGTGGCGAAAATGACACCTCCAACACCCTAAACAAGTAGAGCACAGAAGTGGGCCATCTTCATCGACGGGGCATCCAACTCCACATGCAGTGGAGCATGCATCATCCTCGAAAATGAAGAAGGGATTCTAATCGAAGTATCGTTGGTTTTTTATTTCTCGACCTCGAAGAATCAGGCCGAATATGAAACGTTCCTCGCAGGTTTACATTTGGCTAAAAACTTGGGCACAAAGGAAGTAAAAATCTTCACCGACTCCCAGCTTGTGGCCTCCCAGGTACGAGGAGAATATCAGGCCAAAAATGATCACCTCATCGATTACCTGACGTTAATAAAGGAAAACATAGCTAAGTTTGACATATGGGAAGTCTAACACATTCCCCGTGAACGAAACACACGGGCATATGTCCAGTAAAAAATGGTCAGCACTAGGAGAAAAGGTGGCAATAAATATGTTATACAAGAGATACTTCCTTGCCCAGGTATCAAAAAACCAACAAGGCTGCTCGACGTCAACGCCATTGGCAACAACAACTGCTGGTTGACCCCAGTATACAACTATCTCACCATATGGGAGCTGCCTGAAGACAACAAAGAAGCCAGCGCAACTAAATGAAGAACCTGTTCCTACGTCCTAGTTGAAGATAATTTCTACTGACGAGGATTCTCCATCCCCCTTCTAAAATGTGTTGAGGAGGACAAGGTATCCGACATTCTCCAAGAAATTCATGACGGGATCAATGCACAACACTTAGGAGGAAGATCCTTGGCACGAAAAGCCTTGTGAGCAGGGTATTATAAGCCGACTATGCAGCATGACGCAAATGAGCATGTCAAAAAAATGCGACAGATGCCAGCGCCACGGGGACATGCACTCAGTACCCCTAACGAACTAAAGACTTTGTCCTCCCCATGACCATTCGCTTGGTGGGGGATGGACATCCTCGGCCCCTTCACGATGGGGTCCTATCAAAATAAATTTTTGACCGTATCGTCGATTACTTCATAAAATGGATTGAGACCGAAGCCATCGCCAAGATCACAACATTCAACATACTTCATTTTTGAAAAAATAAACATCCTCGAAAAATTCGGTGTGCCCCAGGCCCTTGTGACCGACAACAGGACCCAATTCAGAGACTGGAAGTTTTAATACTTCGTCGCCAAACTAGGCACCAAACAACACTTCACATTCATCGAACATCCTCAGGCCAACGGGCAAGCAGAGGCCGCAAACAGGGTGATCATTCGAGGTCTAAAATGAAGATTGGGTGAGGCCAAAAAGAGATGGGTCGATGAGCTACATAGCATGATCTGGGCCTATAAAACAACTCCTCACTCAAACACTAGGGAGATTCCCTCGACTAGCATACGGAACCGAGGCAGTAATCTCGGTAGAAATCAGAGAACCCTCTAGACGAACAGAGGCTCCTTTCGATGAGGAAGTAAATGATGAAGCGTTAAGAGAAAAACTCGATCTGGTCGAAGAAACTCGATCAGGAGTCGCTCTCCGTGAAGCTTCACTAAAACAAAAGATAACATTGCGCCATGACACCAGAGTCATAAAGCGCGAATTCTAAGTGGGCAGCCCGGTCATACGCATAAATAAAAAAGATTCACGCGAGGGTAAGCTGGCCGTAAATTGGGAAGACCCTTACTGGGTAAAATCAAAAACAGGCACCGAATCCTACTACATCGAACATTTAAACAGATAACCATTTGCTCGACCATGGAATGCTGAAAAGCTCAAACAATATTACAGTTAGTACTAACAATCAGTTAGGACTAACCACCGACGAACTCACCCCACAACGGAGATTGCCCGACCAAGAGAGTGTGCCCTAATGCATGCACAATGCCTTAATTTACAATGAAGGCAAGTTTTTGATCATGGAAGAAGCATACTCTGTGTCCAATGGGGATACCTCAATCGAGCTCCACCGTTTCCGTACCAGTGTGGCAGGACACCCAGCTCGTGATGGGAAAAGTCCAAGCCCTGTGTGATCAGGATCTCCACCGAGATCCTAGTCCCACGACTGGCGAAACTACTTCGCTTCCTCGACAAGTTCACTAAACTATCGAGCATCATAACAAGTCGAGCAAACTCCTATATTTATCGATCACAACTCGCGAAAATCAACATACAAAACATACATCTACGAAGAAGATAAAATGCATAAGCAAGACATACAATGTCAAACATAAATATTATAAAAATCTGACCACTAGGCCATAAATTGTCAAAATATTACATAACATGGGCCTAGCCCAACCATTAAAAGATCACAATAAGTTTCCTCTAGCTCCATTCGGGCACGTCCTCCTCGAAAGACACGTAAGATATTATCCGAGTACAACCTCATCGACAAGAAATTTCCTTGCCTTAAGCGCAAGGTTGGTTGACATAAAATGTCCCTTCCACAAGCATGTCCTCGCATCCCAAAGAACCTTTGAAGTTACAAATAACCAATCGTTGACAACACTAGTCACAGACATTCGAAGGGTACATCCCCCATGATTTTCGTTCAAAAACAACGGTCTCAAAGGCATCCCTGCGACGTAACTCCTGCTCATCGGTCGACCAAAGAGGGTAACTCAAAGTCATTGTTCCTCACCTAAGAACAACGACTTGGGGGGCTACTATTATGGACTACTGACAGATGGCCTACAGTTGGGCAAGACCCAACCCAGTCTAGCTTTAGACAAAGCCCAACAAGGAGATTAACACAATATGACCGTTGGACACAATATAGCTGTTGGAGAGAATATATTCGTTAAAGCATTGTAGCCGTTGGGGACCTCCCCCTCACGCGCTCCATAGTTCACGGGGACAGTTGGACCAAGTCGAAGATCACGCGCTAGAATGTTCCTTACTCCTCGCAAATCTGGTAGTCTCTCATTGGTGGACCAGATATTTTGACCCACAATGAGGACCTTGGCCACACGCTTGGGGTTTCTTATAAATACCCTCTCATTTGAGAGGGTCAGGTATCCAATTCATTTTAACACAAACCTAAACACTTTGTACTTGTCCTGTTTCTCTCCCTGTTACTTACTTTAGCATCGAAGTGCCTTGCAGGTACACCCCCTTGTCTCCTACAACCATTGTTGCTGCCTTACATTGAAGGCCACGACGATCCATTATGATCATACCGGATCAATATCCAATGATACCCTTACGTATACCGACAATTTTAAAAATTCGGTATGGACAATGTGTTTTTATTGGCATTTTAGAAATTTTTGAAATGAATATATGTGTTTTTAGTGCAAATTTCAAAATTGCGGGTAAAGTCCATATCAAATGATTCTAGATTATTGGTAAAAATGCAAGAAAAAATTGAAATTATGTCAAATATTTCTAAATTTCTTATATAAAACCATAAATTTAATACAAAAATTTCAAATATCTAATAAAATTGTGTGTTTTTTCTTAAATATCCAATATCCTATAAAAATACATATATTTAATGAAAAACAATTGTAATTTGTAAATATATGGTATAAACTATAAATCTTCAATAAAAACTAAATCTTAAAAAATCCAAAACAATAAGATTTTTAACTACCACTATAATATTATAGTGGGAGTGTCAATACAAATTGGAGTACCAGATAGATATAAATTCTAAGTTTAAAGTCCAAGATGACAGGCCCATATGAACCAATTTTGACGACTGTAATGTACTATAAATAAAGAGTCATGTTTTACAATCCCGTTTACACATATCGAAAAAAAAACCACAGTTTTTTTAAAAACCATAAAAAACTGTGTTTTGTGGCAGGCAGCTCTAAACCTGCCACAACGCCTTCCGGAATCTCTCTCCGACGCCTTACCGTTAACGGGTAACTCTCTCACTTTCTCTGCTTAAGATTCTGAACTTCAATTACGGTTAAATCTCATTATCAATTTTTTCACTAACCACTTTCTCTCTCTCCTTCATTTCACTGTCAGTTACAACCGCTTTCTCCCTCATATTTTTTTTTTCAAATTTCTTTTCCCTATGTTATGTTATAGCTCCAGTTGGATAAATAAGCACGAAAAATTGTTCGGTGTTTTCCTCTAATAAATGTATGCAATGAATTTGAACTGATGTATGTGTTGATTTTGGCTCACATTGACGAATTTCTTCAAATTTCTAGGGTTTTTGACTATTTTTCTTGGTTACCGGAGCATTAGAAATGGATATCGATAACAGTCTTCACAAGCAAGCTGCTGAAGTGTTTAATGGAAGAGGCGAGAGCTCGCGTTCTCGTTCCGATGCTAGCGAGGCACAGCCTAGTGCTGTATGTATAAGCTTTCAATTACAAACTTTAATTTGCATAGGGATATTTGAAATTATGATAAATTGCTGTCAATGGAAGTTGGTTTGGTTACGACTGTGGTTGTTTATAAAACCTTGACTGAGACTGACATTGTTTGCTTGGTTGCAGAAAAGGGTTAGGGTGCAGATGCCGAAGGAACTAACTTTTAAGGACATATATGAAAACAAAGAGTTGTTTGAGGAGGATGACGAGGAGGATACTGATTGGGAGCCGTGTCCGGTGGAGAAGTCTGTTGAAATCATCAAGTGGTTCTGTAAAAACTGTACCATGGATAACCTAGACAATGATATCTGCTGCGAAGTATGTTTGTAATTTGCCTTTTCCACATTGTATGCTATATTTTTTTAAATACGTTTTATAGGAAATCTCATTCTTTTATGGATAGTTATCGATTGTGATATATGGGTGTGAACTGGATTTGGTGGTATTAATCATCTCTTATCATTATTATGAATCATTAATTTTGTGAATAATAATTCAACGATATCTTCTACGTACAGGTGTGTGGGGAGCATAAAGATTCTAAAATCCTAAGCCTTGGGCATTTTGCATCGCCATTTGCACAAGCTGGAGGTCTGAACGAGACCCAACCAAGTATAAAAGTGATGAGAGGTGAATATGCAATCCTGCTAATGATTCTGTCATATAGTTATAGTCATTAGGGTATTCCGGACCATGTTTCGGTAATATAAGTAATATTATAGGAATCTTGTCAAACTGCCTTCCAAGTTCATTTATTATGACTGTTAATTTTAAGCTGTCAGAGTCAAGGATAGAATGTTCATTATCTATTTTTAAAAAAAAATTATTAAACTTATATGTCGATTGATTAAAATTTATCATCAAGTTAACTTAGGAGAGAAAAGAACAGACGAGATTTGGTACTCAACTTTCAAAAGGCCGATTTCCCTGTAGAATTAAACCACTTGTTTATAAAGAAAACTCTGATCTAATTCCTTATATTAAAATAAACCTTTATATTGGAAGAAATCCTAATTAAGAGCATATTGAATCCCCTATTTATGCTTGGCCCTAGGATCCTAGCTGTTTAAGGCAGTATTAATAAAAAAAGCTGAAAGGCACAATGAAGATAATGCGCAAAGCAGCAACTGTATATAGAATATAGATTTGTGTGGCCTTTTTTTAGTATCACGGGAAGTATTAATTCAAGAAAATTACAATGCTTGAAAAGCACAGTGCAAAGAAATGACATATTCGTAGCTCAGTGTTCCACCCCCCCCCCCCCCCCCCCCCCCCCCCCCCCAGCCTGTATAGAAATCTGTATGGAGCTAACTAAAAGAAATTCATACAGGCTGGTATCAATGTCACTTTTGTCTATATCCTTGTGTTTATTCTTACTAAAGATATTCATTCTCATATGGTTGTACGTGGATTTTGCCTCAGCATGGTATTAAACTCTAAATTTATTTCAGTTTTGCCCTTTATCTTTGTAGATTTTGACTCTCAGGAATCAGCTGCAAACAATTCTACGGCAATTGGCTTTGATGAAAGAATGTTGTTACATGCAGAAGTATGATTTTGCTTGTTTTGTTGATTCACTTTTGACCCCCCTATAATGCAACGCCTTATTACTAGCATATTAGCATATATAAACATTGGCATTTTGATCAATATCTAATCACGAATAATTTCTTTATTTTCAATGAAATACCAGTATTTTCATTTTCATGTCTTTGTTTTGTATGCTTTGAACATGTTGAACTGGAAAAGAAGAACATTTAGTACTCGCCCACCCTATATAGTAGTAATATTATACACTAGTGCATTTATGGGCAGAGTTATTTCAGTTGATGATATATCAAAGTAGGGATTTTCTTTTACGAATATCTGATTCCATAATTGAAAAATGTAATTCTAGTTCGTTCATCTTTTTAGCTGGTTGTCAATATTAACTTTACTCTTTTTTAATACTATCAACTAATTTCTATTTTAAACATTCTCAAAGAGGCAAAGGAGCATGTTTTTGTATGATCTTTTAAATTTGTATGTGAATTGTTTTGTAGTAAGTTTTTCAGTGTTTCTAGATTATACCGGTTTTGCTGTTAATTTTAATCATTCTGACTTGTTTCTGCGAGTGTTTCAAAGTTATTTACTTATATTATAGCGTTTGACTTACCATCGACCAGGGTCTTCTCATAACCTGTGCATGGATACCGTCTGTTATTCCGCTTTGTTCCTTTTATTCTTCGTCTTTTTCTAAATCAGAAAAAACTTGTTTGCTTGGTCCATGGTCTATGATACACACTACTACAGTTTCGCCACAATAGCATTGAATTTTGATGCATCACATGCATGCACTAGGATGATCTGTGTTTTCTTTGCTAGGAATTTCACATATGTTATGTGACAATATATTTTCTGGCGGTTGTTGGTTTGAGTAGGTTGAAAAGAAATCGCATCCACACCCTGAAAGGCCAGATCGACTTCAAGCAATTGTCGCTAGTCTTACGAGAGCTGGTATTTATCTATCCAAATAATTGCTATTATTATTATTATTCATTTTTTTCTGGCTATCAAAATTTACCTCTTAGCCCTACTACTGATTTCCTTCCAATTTTCATCTGTCTTTGATAAAGTAATGTTGATCAAGTGCATTAATTTGTCAAATTTGAGTCATGTAGGTATATTTCCAGGAAGATGCTATCCAATTCCTGCTAGAGAAATCACGCAAGAAGAACTTATGATGGTAATTGACACCTATTTCATCTATTTTTTAATGGGAGATCCCCAAACAAATGTAGTTCAATGGCTGGACATACTTGCTAATGATATATACTGCTCATTGATTTTGAGGCAAAACTATTTTTTATTTATTTATAAATTTAATTTAAGTATGTTATGAAGCATGAATGGATCACACCCTTCTTTTATTAAACACCGATATAATCACCGTTTTTGTATCAGTTGTAAATCCAGTTCCAGTTCAATACTATCTATAGAATAAATTTTTGTCGGCTGCATCTTGTCATTCAGTGATTATGCTAGTAGGACTGCGTTTGTTTTAACTACTTTTGAATTTCTGCCCTTTTCTCCTTTTCCTTTCTTTAACCATATATCTCAAAGGTAACTGTTGGATCAATGATCATCACACGATTCTAACCATTTAAGATATTGGAATTGAAGGTTCATTCTTCGGAGCATATTGAATCTGTGGAAGTTACAAGCAAGTTAATGTCTAGGTGTGTTAATCTATTTCTTTCTCGTGAGCTGTCTTTCTCTCTAATTATATATAAATATTTTCCCCATTTGTATGTATATATTGTTATTAATACAGTTTGTAATCTCGCTAGTTCTCTTTATGGATTTCATTAAATGCTTCAGTTTTAAGATTTCCATACTCTTGCTTTACATTGGCAATATATCTTTATCATGATCAATGACCCCCATATGATTTCAGTTATTTCACTTCCGACACATACGCCAACAAGCATTCAGCATGTGCTGCTAGGCTTGCAGCTGGGTTATGTGCTGATTTGGCATCAGCAATTGTTTCTGGGCGTGTCAAAAATGGATTTGCTTTGGTAATAATCATTTAGTTGCTATTGATAATTGTCATTAAAATCTGATCAATTTAAGGTTTACTGTAGTTAATTAATGTTCCTAACTAAACTCAGGTTAGACCTCCTGGTCATCATGCCGGTGTAAAAAATGTGATGGGGTTTTGTCTTCACAATAATGCCGCAGTGGCAGCATTGGCAGCTCAGGCTGCAGGGGCTAGGAAAGTTTTAATTTTAGATTGGGTAATGTCTTTACTCATCTATCTATGTAATTATGCAATTTTCCTGAAGGCAGTGTTGACTTAGACATTCACTATGTTATTTAAGTATTAGTTTATTGTGCTTCTTGATCTTTGCAGGATGTTCATCACGGAAATGGCACACAGGAAATATTTGAGAAAAACAAATCAGTGAGCTGGATTTAATTATAATTTTGCTCTCCTTGCTTTTACCTTTAAATTTACATTGTGCTAATCTTGACCTGTTTAACGTTTTTCATATTGGTGTTTATTATTTTATATTTTATATGAATTAGTTTAATTATGAATTTTTTATGAGCTATGCCACTTTCTCATCATTCTAATGATTCTTATGAGTATTATCAATACTGTAGGTCTTGTATATTTCATTGCATAGACACGAGGACGGAACATTTTATCCTGGTACTGGAGGTGCTCATGAGGTATTTGATTGCAGACAATTTTTGGTCTGGTATTAGTGGAAATATTTTTTACACAGTGATTTTTAAAGAAACTAAAACACAGAGATAAATATTTCATCCAGGAATTTAGCATGGGTTATCTGGACATGAAGGGTTTGGGTTATGCTTTAGCTTTGTCCTGTAGATACAATTTAAGAGTTTTGTAGATAGGAATTGGTCAAATATGGTTCAGTATTATGTGTAAACTGCTGGAAGATATGTACATGTCCAGATAATCTTTTGGTTGTTATTGCCATGTGCTTTTGGGTCAAATTGGTTGCAGTACTGCTATCTTGGGTGCAGAAGGAGTGCTGTCTAACAGGTTTAGATTCTGAGAACTGAGAATAATCATAAGTTCATCTTTGCCTTTTCAGGTTGGTTACATGGGTGCAGAAGGATACTGTGTGAATATTCCATGGAGTCGAGGTGGTGTGAGTGATAATGATTACAATTTTGCATTTCAGCAAGTTGTACTTCCTATAGGTTAGTATTTATTGTGGCCTACCGAAGTTTATTTTATTTTATTCCTAGTCATAGCCTTTAGGCTTTGTTTGGAGGGGAAGGGAGGGGAGGGGAAGACTTTGAAAAAAGGGCAGGATTGTGTGAAAAGAATAGAATGATTTAGGTCGTGAGGGTTTTGGGAGATTTATGTTTCTTCAAAAACCAAAATCCCCCTAATTTGGTGAACTAAAATATTGGAGGAGGGTTTTGGAGGGCTTAGACAAATTGTTCAAATATAATTTATGTTGTCATATAGTATTCAAAAAATTTAAAATATATTAATGATAAGCACTATTTTATCATTCTAAACAAGATTATTTTTTCAAAAAATGTCAAAGATTTCTCTATTTTAAAAAAAAATCGTTTTTCGAAACCCTCCTTTCCCTTCTCCTCCAAACTCCAAACTCCCAAGCTCAAATTTGTTAGACCTTAAGAATTACTAGGAACCAAAATTGAATGTGGTTGTTCTATTCTATCAGACAGTTACTTTTTTTTATCAGTAGTTAGTGTTTTTAATATTAACATTTAGTAGCTGTTATTGAGTAGTTACTTGGGGTGTGTGAATAAAATGATGGTACAGTAGATTAGATGGGTTATCTGAAAATTTAGAAGAGGTTATTTGGAAGGGAGAGACCAAGACTCTCATTCTTGGAAGGGAGAGACCAAGATTCTCAAAATTCTTGGATATGAAATTCTTTTTCTTTTATTCTATTTATGTCAAGATCACGAGTGTTGTGTGCCACGCTTTTCTATTTAAAAAGGCAACTATTCCCTGCTTGAAACATTGATATTGAATGACATTCCTTTTCAGCTTCTGAATTTGCTCCAGATTTTACCATAATATCAGCAGGATTTGATGCTGCCAGAGGTGATCCCCTAGGAGGTTGTGATGTAAGAGTTTTAACTTGATCTTTATCTTTGTGTTGGTCTTTTTGTGAATAACTTTATTGAAATACAATCGTTGGCAGTACTAAGCAATTTATTACATCAATCCACCATATAAAGAATTTACTCTGCAGTTTGATTTTTTTGAACTACGGGAACCTTAGTTTTATTGAGGATTAAAAAATTCACTACACTTAAATTGAAACAACCTAATTTGTCAATAATAAATCATCATGGTTTTACATTGAGACTTTCATCAATGATGCAGATTACTCCCTCTGGCTATGCACAGATGACACACATGTTGAATGCCCTATCTGGTGGAAAAATGCTTGTTATTCTTGAGGGGGGGTTTGTTGCTCATACCTTTCTTAGCTGTTTAGTATTCTATAGGCTCTGCATTTTGCCAAGTTGATTTAGATACATTTTTATTGCAGCTATAATCTTCGTTCTATATCATCTTCTGCAACTGCAGTAATCAAGGTAAATTCTTCTGCCGTTCGTTATGCATGAATAATAAATCAGAGCTACTTTTCTTGTTGACGTTTTTGGCTTCTGACTGGGGTTCTATTGGAACAGGTATTACTGGGTGAGAATGTACCCGAACTGGAAAACAGTTTTCCTACGAAATCTGGCCTGCAGACTGTTTTTGAAGTCCTCGACATTCAGAATAATTTTTGGCCTTCCTTGAAACCTATCTTTGAAAATGTGATGTCACTTTGGGAAATGCGCTGTCTTGGAAAAAAAGGTGAGGAACTGTCTTTGATTTGTATTCATTAAAATTTGCAACCTTGCTTCTTTTTGAAATTCATTAAAATTTGCAACCTTGCTTCTTTTTGAAATTCATTAAAATTTGCAACCTTGCTTCTTTTTGAAATTGTTTTATTTTGATATATTTGACCTTGCTGGGTGGAATGGTCGGATTCCTTGTGGGAGGGGGATTTTGCTATCTCACTTCATGTCTGAAAGTGTAGGTACTTCTAAAATAATGAAGTACCCGTACTCGTGGTACTTTCTTTTTTTCCCTTCATTATTCCATTTTGTACTCAGCTTTGAGTACAATAGATACTACACTACTTGTGTTGTTGAGCATAAGTGGTCTTTAGGTTTTGATATGTGAAAGAGTGAATGAATCTACCGAGCTTCCTAGTTGTGTATAGATGCGGTCGTCTAGTTGAGGAGTTTGTGGAGAAAATTCATACATTAGCGGAATAAATGTCATCACCATCTTATTTGACTAACAATAAATAATAAGACATGAACTATAATAATATCTCATGTTCACTAAGTTCCATGTTTTGGAAACAAGTCTTCCATCTAACTCTTCCAGCTTATACGCTCCATGTGGTAACTTCTGGTGCAGTCTGAATGGACCTTCCTAATTGGGGAGCAATTTTTTGATCCGGGTAGGGGCCACCACCTGTCTGAGCATAAGGTCATTCTCCTTCATGTCCTTTGGGACTACTTTTGGAGTTGTACCTCATGGCAGCTCTTTGCCTGACTCCAAACTCATGGATGCGGGCGTTCTCCCTATATTCGTCGAGTAGGTCAACCACACACTTAAGCCCTGTTTCGTTCTCTTTACATATGAAAATGCGATTAAGTTGGCATAGGGCGGTTAGATACTTGTTAGTGCATATAAAAAATATGAACGCCTATGAGCGTGCCTTGCATTCTTCAGCGAAATGCTCACCCGACATGTGGCATGTGGGCGTGTCAATCTCAACCGGCAACATAGCATATGTGCCATAAACCATCTTAAATGGTATTTCCTTAGTGGTGTAATGGGGCGTCGTATGATACAACCACAAACCTTTTTAGAAACTGGGTTTAAGTACGATAACACACTCCATGGGCGAGAAGCATTAATAAAATAAAGTAAACGAGAATGATTATACCTTGTATACTTGTTCTGCCCATAATCCCATGGCTTCATTTAACTTTGTCTTTATTCCGCAAAAGATCATTTTGTTGGCTGATTCGGCCTGTCAGTTGGTTTGCGGGTGGACTACTTAGATAAACTATGTCTAAGGGGTGGCAAAATTCCATCACTGTTGAGCTGGCGAATTGTGATCGTTATCTGAGATGATACTTCTTGGCAAACCAAAACGGCGTAATTCGCTTCATGTAGAAATGCCAAACTCTTTCCGACGTGATTCTGGACACCGCCTCTGCCTCGATCCACTTGGTGGAAAGCCATCTCCTGATGAGGCTCCTACTAGAGTGGGTAATGTTTAGCACCTTCAACAGGTCCAATAGATCTGTGGTGGGTCTCAAAATTCAGTTAAACACTTTGAAAGAGAAGCTTAACTAGGCCCAAACCCTGCTGACCTCGGTAATGAAAGCTGGGATAAATCGAAGCGCTCTATGGGCAAGTTGAGAAAGGGGAGTAAAAAGAAGGATGAAGCTTACAAGAAGCTGACTGAAGAGTTTGACCAGGCGAAGGCCGAAATAAAATCTTTGAAGGAGCCTGCCCAAGAATAAGCCCTTGGTAAAAAACAAACTGCAAGGGGATTTTGTGTACGCCAAGGAGATTAATGGGCCTAATAGTGAATACAAATCAATCATCCCAAGCTTGCAAGTAAATTGGTTGAATCGTTTTGTTGGTAAATTCTTTGTTAACACTTTTGCCAACTAATTCCTAGAAGGTATGCGTACTTGTGAAATACAATAAAGGGAGAGTTTGCATACATGTTTGATAGCAAGAGACTCTATATGTTAGTTAGGGTTTAATGGAATTAGTCAATCTGTCCCAAGTCCTGTAGTTGGATTATTTATTAAGGGTTCTTTGGGTCGGGCAATGAGAGAAACAATTCTTCTTGACATCCCGACAGATACGTAGTATGGGAAGACCGATTCCTTAAATCTTGGAGGGACGATTTTATCCTTTGACGGCCATCCCTACAAATTGTTATGTCTTGGACATCTCATAGGCCACATGTGATAAAACAGGTAAAATATGGACCTTAGTTCGGGCTGGGCGACCTGGAGTGCTCCCGCTCAGAGTTTGCATACATGTTTGATAGCAAGAGACTCTATATGTTAGTTAGGGTTTAATGGAATTAGTCAATCTGTCCTAAGTCCTGTAGTTGGATTATTTATTAAGGGTTCTTTGGGTCGGGCAATGAGAGAAACAATTCTTCTTGACATCCCGACAGATACGTAGTATGGGAAGACCGGTTCCTTAAATCTTGGAGGGACGATTTTATCCTTTGACGGCCATCCCTACAAATTGTTATGTCTTGGACATCTCATAGGTCACATGTGATAAAACAGGTAAAATATAGACCTTAGTTCGGGCTGGGCGACCTGGAGTGCTCCCGCTCAGAGCTCTAACACTTCATTTAGCCTGCTTTGCCATGGGCTGTCCTTTGCCCAATAAAATTATCCCAGTCAACAGTACCTCAAGCACGAGACATGTGTAGGGTGAAGTGATTAACTTAAAATGGGCAGTGGTCTTAGTGGTATGAATCCTTCGAGAATTGCATTGGACGAGTCCCTCAAGCATCGTTTGGGGAGAGCCCCTCAAGTGTTGCTTGGAGCACGCGCAACATTTAATGCATAGGTACGTTCGCTCTTATCTTGGGAATGTGCGGTCTTTGTGAACCGTAGATTTTTTGCTTTCCAACTGGCATGCACACGCATATGTTAGGGCAATGATGGCCTACATGACCTAGGAAGTTTTCTTCATATTAATAGGGTTATGTTTCATTCTTCTTCAAGCTACTTCCAAAACCCTTCTGCTTCTCCTCAGCAAGAACTTAAAAATTTCTCCCAAGCTTGACTGCGTCGCCCATCATTCTTCCGCTTAAACTCTTCCCCATTTCTCTCTATCTTTTCCCTTTTCTAGTAATGACAATAATTATGTATTTAGTCGAGAGTATTAGCGTGGTTGAACCCTCCACTGGTAGAGAGCTCACAGAGATGTTGGAATATTGTATGAAAAATGTTAGGATAGGCAATGGGGTGGTTGATTATAGGTTTTTTGAAATAGGGATGTTCAAAAGTTACGAAAGTACCTCTGACTCTAGTTGTGATAATGACTCCCTTTTCTCCTTTCCTTTTCTAAGAAAATCAGGTTTGTTGATGGCTTCAACTCTTCCAAAAGATCAAGGGTCGAAGATTATGATATAGTGTATACCAAGTAAGGGAAGGTGGATTCCTTCTGTAAGGGCTTGAATTTATCAGGCTCAGCGAACGAGGAGGATGTCATCTTGGAGTCCTACTCTATAGATGCAAGGGCTTACATAATGCCCTCTTCTGATTCTGGTGGCGACTTCTTCTACATGTACCTTCTTATAATCCGGGATTTTGGGGGTGCTAATCCCTTTCACAATGTTCGAGTCTGAGGTGCTTAAAACCATCAACGTAACCCCTTCTCAAATATCATCCAATGGATGGGCTTTTATCAAGGCGTTTGAGATCTTGTGTAGGAATTTGGTGGCCTTTCCCACTTCGGGTCATTCTTCTCTTTTGACAAGACCAAGATTGCCAGCAAGGGCGAATGGGTCACTTGGGCACCCTACCAGGGAGGGTTCTCTTCATCCCATTAAAACAATTATAAGAATTGAAAAGATAGGTTCATGAGAGGGAGGGGGAGAGATGACCGGTCTATGATAGTGTTCAACGAGAATGACAAAGATTGATTTCCATTTATTGGACGAAGGACCCTGAGGCGATAAATTAGTTCAATTATGTTTTTCTCATCGAAATCAAAAGAGAGGTCCTTGACATCTTAGACAAATTTTATATAATGAGTACTAAGGTAATGTTGAGTTAAACAAAAGGGGTAATGGTGGCTATTTGCGCAAGTCTAATCATTATTAGGGCGTTTACAACATATTCTTTTTGGCTAATATCTTTCTTTCTGTTTGTAGGAAGTATGGTGCCATTGACTATCGAACAGAAAAAAGGCTCTCCATGCCAAGCAAAAAGCTACTCGAGGCGAGAGATGGTCTAACGATCCCCACACCCATCGTGGCAGCCTGTTAGGAAAAGGAAAATGGGCGATGGAGGGACCATTATCTCCACTCGCCCTTTAAAAATAAGGTTGCCTGCCATGGCTAGACAAGCGGACTCTACTTCTCAAAGTCACCCCTTTGTTGAAGTGCAACCCACACCCACCATCGACTTAGATGCACAATTGGAAACTATCGATCTGGATGGAATGCCTAAGAAAGGGAAATCTTCTTCTGCTCCCTCTGGCAATATGGTGCAGTCCCTTTGGGACAATGATTTTGACGCCAGGAGTTTTATGCAAACGCGCTTGGATTTCTCTATCGATTTCCCTAATGATCATCACATGGCGGCTCATATGGGAGCCAGACAGATGTCGAACGCGTTGGAGACCCATATGTTGAGGGGGTTACTGATAGAACGTGCGATGTTCGACGCCTATTGTAAGTCTGACAAACTAGTCGCTGATTTGAAAGTCCAATTGAACGCTCAACGAGAGGTGGTGACTGAGGCTCAAAATTCCCTGAAGTCCCTTAACGAAGAGCGCGACTGACTCAAGGAATCTAAGAAAAATAAAAATAGAAAGGCTAAAAAGCTTAAGGAAGAGCTCGTCCGAGTGAGAACGGAGTTGACAACGCTGAAGGAGTCTGCTAAGGCAGAGGCTCTCCTCAAGAACATGCTGGAAGAAGACTTAGCAAACGCCCATAATGACATCGTTGCCTCAGAGGACAGAGCCTTTGAAAAAGCGAAAGCCCAGATGGCTTGCCTCTATCCCGACCTAGATCTTAGCAAGCTTGACCTTTTCAAGGTTGTTAAGGATGACCATCTAGTGGATGAGGAAGATCCGGTGGAAGGAGAGAACGCCATCTCTTCGAAAAGGAATGAGTTCTAGAGGAGCATGAACCAACTAAACCTTAGACTTACGCCTTTTTGATGTGTAGTTTACTTTTAACAATTGTATCATTGCCTTCGGTGGGCCTCTTTTGTAACCACACCCTTTGGGATTTACTAATGAAAACGTTTAGATTTTGTGGTGATTTGCCTTATGTTATTTTAATTTCTTCCTTCGTTATTTCAATTTCTTTCGAGGAATCTTTCTTTCATGTTGCCCTGATTGAATAAATTTTCCTCTTGGGCGAGTCCCTTAAACGATTCTTGAGGCGAGTCCCTTAAGCATTGTTTGGGGGCGAGTCCCTCAAACGTTGATTGGGGAGTGTGTTCCTCAAGCGTTGTTTGGGATGAGTCCCTCAAGCGTTGATTGAGGGGTGTTCCTCAAGGGATGCTTTGGGCTAGTTGAATTTGCTTTGGTGAGGATCCTTCAATCAAGGTCTTGCATTTATGTGTCTGATATGATGACAAGGATCCTTCAGTGAAGGTCCAACATTCATATGTCTGATAAAGTGGCAAGGATCCTTCAATGAAAATCCAACATTCATATGTCTGATATGATAAGGCGACAAAGATCACATGCCTGATAAGGCGGCAAGGATTCTTTAATGATAAACGTTATTCATTAAAAAATTAGTGCCAATAGTTCGAAGATTGGTAGGATAAATGTCCTCGCCTTATTCAATCGACAAAAACATAACAACTAACTGTAATAGTATCTCAGGTTTACTGGTTCTGGGGATGAGTTGTTCATCCAATTCTTCAAGCTTGTAAGCACCATGTGGGAACTTCTGACGTATGCGATATGGTCACTCCTAGTTGGTAGGGGCGTTTGCGGTGTAGTTTGGGCGGTTTTGACGGTAAAAATCATCCGAGCTGCAAGAGAAAAAAGTATGTGGTTCGGTTGGCTTTTAGAAATAAAAGCAAACCAAACCAAACCAAACAAAGCCAATGCGGTTTGGGTTGGTTCGGTTTTTTACAAGATTTTTATTGAGCCATATGTTAAGAGTCCTACATCGGATAATATATGGCATGAACATGTCTTTATAAGTGGGGACAATCCTCGCCTTACCAACCGGTTTTGCAGGATTGAGTTAAGTCCAACCACATTTCTTAACACCATACATACACCTATAGAGAACATAAATTTGTGTTTAGTCATTCATACATTGCCAAATAACAATTTAGACAAAATCTTCTCATTCAATATACCAAAATCATACTAGACAAAAGGAGGAATAAAAAGCCTAAAATATTAGCATAAAGTTATATCAAAGATATTATAATAAAACATAAAAAACATATGAGATGAGAGATTAGAGAAAAAAAAAGAAAGAATAGAAGAGATGTGAGATTAGAAAAGAAAAGTGCGATAAAAACGTAATTGGAAGAGAAAACAGTAACACAAAAACAAGAAGATGAAAAAGAAAGAACATATGAGATGAGTGATTAGAGTAGAAGAGGCGAGACGTGCATGTTAAAAGAAGTTGAGAAGAATGCGCGATACTAATATGAGAGAGATTTGAGAAGGTTGAAACTAAAATTCTAAGTGTGAGTAAAAGAAAAACGTTTTTAATTGTAAGGTTAATGCCTTATAGGTTTGGGTTTTGAGTCGGATATGGGATAAGTGAAGTTTGTGTTGTAAAATAATGCGGTTTGGTTTGGTTTAGTTCGGTTTGCAAATACAAACCGCAAACCAAACGGAACCGTGCGGTTTTGTTACAAAATGGCCCAAACACATCCGAATCAATTGAGGGTTTTTGCGGTTTCGGTTTGGTTTGGTTTGCGGTTTTCTATTGAGTTGGTTATGTTTTTAACACCCCTACTAGTTCGTAATTCGAGTAGGCGCCACAATCTGTTTAAGCACAAGATTGCCTTCGTTATTCTCCTCTTGGGATTACCTTGGAGTTGTATCGTCTGACGATTCTATGCTTTGCTACAAACTCGTGAATATGGGTGATCTCTTTGGCTTCATCGGTCATGTCTGAAGTCACTTAGTCTGGCTTCATTCTCGTTCTCATTTAACTGCTCACGACACCATGTGGGCGTATCAATCACCATTGACAACATAGCTTATGTGCCATAAACCATTAATGAAGTTTTCTTAGTGGTTGAGTGAGACATTGTATGATATGAGCACTTAACCTTTGTAGACAATAAATTAAATATGACCGCACTCCTTAAGCAAAAAAAAAATGTTAGATTAAACGAAACAAAGAGAAGAAATATACCTCGTGTAGTTGTTCGACCCATATACCCTTGCCATTGTCTAACTTCTTTATCTACACATGATCACCTAGTTGGTTGATTCTGCCTCCATTCGCCTTCGGGTGGATGATTGCAACGAATTTTGTCTGAATTCCTAGTTGATGACAAAATTCTACCACGATTGCGCTGGCGAACTGGGTTCAGTTATCTGAGACAATACTCCTCAGTAAACAGTACATGCAAATGAGCAGCTTCTAGTAGAAATGACACACTTTTGTGATTTTAGACGCGGTTTCAGCCTCTATCCATTTTTAGTAGTCCACCCCGTTCAAAAACTTCAGCTGGCCCAGCGCTACGGGGAAAGGACGTAGAATGTCCACGCCTCACTGGTAAAAGGGCCAGGGGAACGTGACGAAATGGAGAATTTCTCGACTGACGTGTGGAGGAGGTTGGAATGTCTTTGGTATTTGTCACATTTTTTGATGAAGTCAACACTGTCTTTCATCAGGGTCAACCAATAATAACCAACCCTCTGTTGCTTGTGGGCAAATGATCGCTCACCAATGTGACTTCTGCATACCCTTTTGTGGACCTCAGTAAGAACCAATGCGGTGTCATCCTTGACCTAACATCTCAGCATTGGGGAAACTCTTTCCATCTTGTACAACTTTTCTCCTACCATGGTACACTTCGCAGCTAATCTTCTGATCCTCTTTGCTTCGCAGCTAATCTTTCTGTGCTGGATGTAGGTTGAGTTTCTTGTATTATTGTTTTATTATGACCTGACTTCTTGGTGTTGGCGAGCTTCGATAAGAGATTTGCTTGAGCGTTATGCTCTTAGGCCATATAAACTATCTTAAAGAACTTGTAATTTTTAGTTAAGTCTTGAACTCTCTATAGCTATTTGACGAGTTGGGTCTCCTTCATTTGATACTCGCATGTTACTTGTTGGCGATTAATTGGGAGTCGCTTTGGGCTTTTTGAGATTTGAGGCGCCAATCTCTATGGTGTGGTTCATCCCGATGATGATGGTCTCATACTCAGCTTGGTTATTGCTGACCCTAAATTCAAACCTCAAGGATTGTTCTATAAGGATGTTGCCTGGGGCTTCCAATACTACCCCGTCGCAACTGCCGTTAAGGTTTGAGGCGCCGTCAATGACAAGATTCAAACATGCGAGACCTCCTCACTTACAAGGGACCTCTGTCAAGAATGTCGGCCAAAACCTAAGATTTGATCCTGCCTCTCGTCACGAAATTGATATCATACTTTTATAGCTTCACTGGCCAAGATACCATTCTATCTGCCAGATCAGACTTCTTCAGAATTTGACAGATTGGATAGTTCGCACTCACTCGTCCACTCGAACCTCTACTTTAGAGTAGCAAAAAAGTGGCAAGCTTTATTACCTGCACAAGAGAGAAATTTGGACCAGGCGGTCAATTGCCCCTGTTAGCTGCTGGACCTCTTTCACTGAGGTGGGGCCTCTCACTCATATTAATGATGGTCAGACAGTTGTCAGGGTTTGCTTTGATTCCCCTTCTGGTCATCACGAATCTCAAGAACTTTCCTGCCTGATCCCCGAAAGAACAGTTGTTTGACACGAAGATCATCTTGGACGCGTCTGAGGGGTCCGTCTTTATCTGGTTATAGTCAGAGTTGGAGTCCATAATGCTCTAAGTTTTGTTTCCTGATGACGTGTCTATCAATTTGTCGATGTTTGGCAACATATAAAGATCATTAGGACACATCAGGTTTAGATCGGTGAAATCTACATGCATTTGCAACTTATGGGATGACTTTCGAACCAACACCACATTTGCTATAATGAAACCTCCCTCCAACTTATGTATTTTTGTTTCCTTATTATTGTAACTTAAACACTTTTTTTTTTAAAACTTTTATTGTAATGTGTTGTTGTAAATTAAAAATTTAGTTCTCTAATCATACATTTTAAATTTTTATGATGTTTTGTTGTGAATTAACAATTTAGTTCTCTATTAGTATTTTTTTTTATTGACGGACCTATATCTTACTTATTTTTAAAATATTGTATCCCTACGTACTATATCTTTATTTTTAAAATATTACCGGTACATGTATACATGCATCACAGGATATTGCTTTACAAAAATTATGTGAACTATGGCAGTAGAGATAAGAATTAGTATTTCTGGTGAAGCTCTGAAATAGCTGATTATGTATATTTTTTTCAGTTGTAGTCAAACAGACAAAAAAGAGACGCCGAATTTTGGTACCAAAATGGTGGAGGTGGGGTCGTAGAAGTTTCTTATTCCGAATGCTGAATGGTCATCGCCATTGCAGTGTAAAATCAAAATGACTTTGTTGAGCTGCATTTTGAAGTACAGGAATACCTAGTAATTATCAGCATGTTGTATATTCCATCTTGATTCGAGATAACATATTTTTTGGTTGACCTTGTAAGTGCTTACGGTTGACACAGAAATTGGGAAAGAGTAGCTTAGAAAAAACCTCTCGTGTAGGTAAAGGATACAAATGACTTCCTTGTTCCTTGTTTGAATATTTTAGAAGCTATTGACATGATAATGTGAGGAATTAATCGTTTTTGTAACTGTTATATAAGCACTGTCTTTCAATTTAATGCATGCAGAATTTTCCGTTCTTAAAATGTGTTTGTTGTTTGCTTGTCAAGAAGTCAAAGTGGTAAGTTCATTCTTTTGGTAGAAGAAAATTTGAAAATGAGGTTAGAAGTGGAGTATTCTGTGGTTGGGGCTAACTCAATTTTACAAAACCGGTTGGTAGAGTGAGAATTACTCCATTTATAAACACGAGGCTTTGATACCATATTAAAAAATATGGTTGAGTCTAACTTAATCCTACAAAACCGGTTGGTAGCATTAGAATTACCCCCACTTATAAACACATGTTAACATATTCCATCATTCAATTTGCTATGTAAAGCAGGTTAGAAGTTAGAATGAAAGCAAACAAATAGATATATATACCATTAGTGACATTCATTAGATGAAATGAGCTATATATGGATCTTGTCTGAAATAATTTATAGCTTGCAACACTCCTTGTATGAGATGGAACTGTCAGAAGAATGAGATGGAAGTAACACTACAGGAAGAACACAACCCTCTCTTTCTCTAACATGCTACGTAATATGTGTCTGTTTCAACTTGAATGGAGTACTTTCAATAAAAAAATGCCACACTAAGTAAATTTTTATTTTTATGCCTAATAAATTTAACGTATTTGTGTATTATTTATTGAATTTATGAGCTTGTTAATCTTTTTCTCTTTTTTGGTTTGTAAAGTGGTTTTTAAATAATGATGATAAATGATAATTTTGAAAAAGGTGGCTTTTACATTATGATGATAGATTTTACTTATTAATCATGTTATGATTTTTCTTGTTATTGACGGATCTAATGATGCCTTTTTTCAATAATTAGTTTAAGTCTTGATTTTCTATAAATAACAGGGCACCTGTAATAACTCTAGATACATGCTTTTAATTGAAATTGATGTTTAAGGAAAATAGCAAGTTCTTTTTTACACAACTTTCACAAAGGCATTTCAATAACAATGACTAGATACATGCTTCTATTTGAATTTGATGTTTAAGGGAAATAGCAAGTGTTTTTTTACACAACTTTCATAAAGGCATTCAACAACAATGACTAGACATCTTGCAAATAGGAAATCAACAATAGTTAGTTTTAAGTCTCATCAATGTAGAGACATGAAAAGTAATGATATTTCTATTTATTATCAAATAAAAAGGACATGACATAATAATCTTGACAATAAAGAGATGATCAGTTACTTCAATTCATTGGTACTCCTATTTATTAGAATCATATCTATGTACATATACATCATGACCCCTCACCTAATAAGGAAATTTACTAAACCAACTAAAACAGTCTTACATACTCGATACCATTATTGAATTCCTCAAATTCTTGAGTAAATTAACAAGAGCAGAATTTATTTAACATAACAGAATTATGACTTAACTTTTCACATAAGAGGACTTTTCTTTAAATCCCCACTAAACTGACAAATAAAATAAAGAGGATTTGAACCAATGCAGGTTGGTTCAATCACGAAAGATTCAACACAAATTTTATAAAGATCTGACTTCAAATTTTGTTGCCGATGTGAAAACTACGTTGGTGAATAATACAAATTTTGTTGCCGATGTGAAAACCACGTTGGTGAATAATACGTAAGTATCTCTATCAGATTTTATCTGACCTGGTGAATTCTCGGAATTCAATTCGTCTAAACTTTATTTCCACAACAAAAGAAGGAAATAAAGAGTTGTTATTGGTGCATTGGTGGGGGTGCCATAGGGTAAGCAAGAGGAACAACATAAGGTGGATGATGATGAGGATGATGAGGAAGCATGACCGGAGTCCCAACTGCAGAAGCCATATGAGCCGGAGGAGCAACAACAGGATGTCCAACTGGTGCTCCATACATTCCTAAACCAGAACCAGGATGATGAGGGTGAACTCTATGCTTCATTGATTGTCCTAAATTTGAAGGAATTGTGTTACCATGTTGACCTGTTATTGGTGCTTGATGATTACTAGCTACATCTCCATTGTTAACACTAGTAATATCATGAATACTTGACCTTCTTCTATCTCTATTCATTGAATTCAACCTTATGAAATACTTCTGTGCATGACTTGCCACTTGTGTTGGTGTCCTTGATATCACAAAGTTCCTTGAAATACTCCTCCAATCTCCTTTTCCAAATTTGTCCAGACCAAGTAAAAATAGCCTGAAAAAACAAATCTAAAATCTTTAATTCAATTGAATTTTTCTTGAAACATAGTTCATCTAACTAATACGTCTATTGAAATATAGTTATTTGGATACCAGTAGACAGATAGACAGACAAACAGAGTGAAAAACAGATGAACAAATATATAAAAAGACAGACAAATTCAAAGATGAACACGCAATTAAAAAGTACCTATGCTCTTCTTCTGTCCATGGAATTCCTTTTCTCCTTTCTTGTTCTGATGATGAAGACCTTGACAATCCACCTTTCCCACTACTATGGTGGGTGGAGGAGTCATGTCCCAAACCAGAAAACCCACTACCAAAATTACAACTTGATCTCTTATCTAAACTTGTGGTGGACTTAGAAGAATCTTTATTTGAACTAGTTTCTAATTCATTAGCATAATTTGGAAATGAAACATGACCTGCCTCAATTGCACTAACATCATCTACCAATACTTGATAATGTTGTTTCACTTCTTCCATGCTTTTGTTAGGGACAAACGAAGCAATCTTTTCCCATTGTTGTTCTTCTGAATCTTGTTTTTCAATCCAATGCATGGCTATGGCATTCTCAAATGCTTTTTCTTCTTCATAGCTCCAAATTGTTGCACTTGAGGACATGGTGGATATTAGTTGGATTTAGAGTTATGGTTGAAAGTTTAGAGGATGAGTGAGAATGGTGTGTGTTTGTGTGTGGAATTTGTCTCTACATGATGACATAGTAGTGGAAAGGGTGCGTAGGATAAAGAGAAGAATCATAATGTGTGTATGATAAAGAAGTAAAGTGGTATCAAACAATCAATTTGGAGAGGACCACACAATGAAATTTTATGGGATGTCTTATTTTTGATGTTGGTTCATGTAGTAATATTTTTGTTTCACCCCTCAATTACACCGACCAATTTGTCTCTATTTTCTTTCTTAACCGTCAATAATGTTATAAAGAAAACATTGTCGAGGTTAATGATAAATCATAGGTATCTTTTTGACCGATTTGGATTGCATGCATATAATTTAGTTAGGAATAATTAGGAATGTAAATGAATATCCACGGATATTATGATATCCGTATTCATCCTGTTGGATAAATATAATATTTATATCCGTCTCATATTCATGCAGATATCTATTAAACATATAATTCGTAGATTTTATAGTATCTGCAGATATTTAAAGATATCTTAGATAATATGTAAAAAAAAAATATTTTAAACTTGTTTTAAAGACAAAAAAAATATTATCACATAATATCCATACAATCCGCTCTTAATTTAACAATAAAATTTCATCACATCAATTTTTTTATTCTTCAAAACATAATTAGATCCAAGCATATTATTCATACATTTCATTTTTAACCAAACAAATAAAAGATATTGTGATTGTGAGTTATAAGGTATGAAATATTGAAGGGTTTAAATATGGTTTGACACAAAAATGACGATACTAATTGGTTGGATTGTGAAATTGTTGAATTGATGTATGAAATATTGAAGAATTTAAATATGAAATGACTAATAAAATTTGAATGAAATGTGAAAGGTTTTCTTTAAATACAATTAAAAAAAAAGAGAAAGAAATATAAGAAGACTAATTTTTTTTAGAAGATGAAAAGATAAGGTATAATAAACAAATGATATTTAAATGGTTTTTATAATTTATTAACAGATGTGAATATCCACGGACGCAGATATCATTAAACCCGTATCCATATCCATTAACAACTAAATTTTCATTTATTTTATCCGTGGATATCCATTAAACTATCCTCCCCATATTCATGACAGATTTTATCCGCGGATATCCAAAATATAGCCGCTTGGATATAGAAAAGAAAGTGAAAAACCATAAATGTTGTAATTATTGTAGTTTATACCTAGATTATTTGACAAAGTTTTTTGTGAATGTAAAATACCATCTGATAACTATGTCCAAGTATTATTCCATACATAACATGGTCTATTTATTGTACCTAACAACAACGTAATGATAAATAGTTTCCTAAAAAAGTGATTGAAACCCCATTCACTTGTTCCTTTTATAACCAATATAAATTACTTGTCATCCTCAAGAAAGCCCATTGTAAACATGCATCTCTAAAGGAACAATATAATGTTTCATCTATTATACGGATATCCTCATGATTTGTTGGGCGTTTCACTAAGTTCAACATCATTTTCAAATAGAATAATTTACCAGCTGTTGGTGGAATCCATATTAATCGCCTAATGAAAAAACCTTTCTTCCTTAGTTTCTTTGATTTATTTTTCTTCTCATAAACAAAATATATTACAAACTGGTTGTATGTCAGGATTTTTGCCTCTTCCTACTTTTCATATGCAATTGTTAGATATTTGAGTATGATAATCCTGGATAACTTTGAGGAATCGTGTTCGTACACTTTCCGAACAAAGTATTTCGACCCTATTATTTGCCTGGGTTCACGAAATGTTTGTGGGGATAATTCTTGAAGAACAATCTGCTTCTGCCAATAGAGAACAAATCAGGAATGTAGAGAGAAAGTATGATTTTTGTTTTTGTGTATTTAAACTGAGGCCAAATGACTCCTTATAGGAGATTCATAACAGAAACCGAAAAGACACAACTGTTCAAAAATTTCGAACGAGTTCAACTGAAACTTTCGAACGGGTTCAACTGTTCCAAAAAATTTCGAACGGGGCGCTGCCCCGCACCCTGCCAGGGGCTTCGCTCCTTGGAACCCCTTTTCAATTATTTGCATTCAATTACACGTTGGCTCGATGAGCGTGCACTCCGCACTACCCTAATTCTTTTTCAAGCTTAACGCATAATTGCATCGCCCTACAATAAATCACAATACTACTAAAATACATTGATGATACTAAAATCACCAACAAATCCCCCCCCCCTCTCCCATTTTAGTGTAATCCTTGATTTACTCCATATATACAAGGGTATAACACACAGGTATAACAATCAAACAAATGCACAAATGAAAATGTCTTACGATTGAATTTTCATCTTAGTACAAGTACACATTCCAAATACTCGAAAATCAGGGTGTCATCGCGTTTGAACCCGTCAATCCATTTGACTATCTGAAGATATAGTACACATATGTTTCTTACAATACTCTACTATTCATACTTGACACTTTACAAGCCACGTGTCCTTATCCATTAATAAGCATATAGGAAGCCAAGTCCAAGCTTCTTGAAGCGGCAAAACTTCATGCTCACATAGGTGATCCTTTTTAATCTTGCATCTGCATTTGCAATTTTCCAAAAGAACCATTAAGAAGATATACTTCAACCTAGCCATTACTTGCAGGTCTGAGCACATACCTTGGGAAGATAAACACAATTGCTCCAATCTCTAACTATGATCTTTCCACATTGAATTCTGCTTCTAACGTTGTATTAGAAGGGAATTGAGTATACCATATCTAATAAATTTAAATGGACTTTAATCCCATTCTAATTACCGACTTCTTCATTAAGTCTCTAGCTAACCCCTCCGTCAAGTGGTCAGCTAAGTTTTGTTGCAACCGAACAAACTCAATATATATCACCCCATTCATGATTAATTCCCTAATCATACTATGTCTAACACCCAAATGTCTAGACTTTCCATTGTATATTTGACTATAAGCTTTATCCAATGTGGCAGTACTATCACAACGGATAGAGATTGGTGATATCGGTTTAGGCCATATCGAAATCTCATATACCAAGTTCCTTAGCCATTCTGCTTCTTTACCAGCAGCAACTAATGCTACAAACTCAGATTCCATTGTGGAACCAGTTATACATGTTTGCTTCTTAGAAGCCCATGAGATGACACCTCCCCCAAGCAAGAACGCCCATCCACTTGTAGAGGATGAATCTTCAGTATTATTTATCCAACTAGCATCCGAATATCCCTCTAACACCGAAGGAAATCCCATATATGACAATCCATAATTCATAGTACCCTTCAAGTACTTGAATACCCTAGTTATCGCATGCCAATGATGTCTACTAGGATTACTAGTAAATCTGCTCAACTTTCCAACCGCATAAGCAATATCCGGTCTAGTGCTAATCATAGCATACATCAAAAAGCCTATAGCTCTTGAATATTCGAGTTGATCCACATGTTTACCTGTATTTGGCATAAGCTTTTCTCTCGGATCCATGGGAGTACTTACTGGAGAACAACTTTCATAATTGAACTTCTTGAGTATTTTCTCAATGTAATGAGATTGCGTAATTACAATCCCCTTATTCTCCCATTTAATCTTGATACCAAGAATAACGTCCGCTTCTCCCATATCCTTCATGGACAACTTTGATGACAAGAAATTCTTTGTTTTATCAATTTGATTTTGGTTGGTGCCAAAGATCAACATGTCATCAACATATAGACAAATGAAAACTCCTTTACCGGGTGTACCAAATTTGATATATACACATTTGTCAACTTGGTTTAGAATGAAACCATTAGACAAAACGACCTCATCAAACTTTTGATGCCACTACTTCGGAGCTTGTTTCAGCCCATACAACGACTTAACTAGCTTACACACTTTATGCTCATTACCATGCATTACAAATCCTTCAGGTTGCTTCATATACACTTCTTCTTCCAAATCACCATTCAGAAATGCTGTTCTGACATCCATTTGATGAATCACTAGATTATGAATAGCCGCCAAGGCAATCAACAATCTAATAGTAGTGATACAGGCAACTGGAGCATAGGTATCGAAATAATCAATCCCTTCCTTTTGTCTGAAGCCTTGGATAACTAATCTAGCTTTAAACTTGTCAATTGTACCATAGACTTTCATCTTCTTTTTGAAGATCCATTTGCAACCCAATGGTTTGCAGCCTGGTGGTAAATCAGATAATACCCAAGTATTATTTTCCATGATAGAACCAATCTCTTCATCAATTGCTTCTTTCCAAAAAATAGAATCTCGAGATTTCACAGCTTCATCATACGTTCTTGGATCCTCCTCTATACTATAGCAATAATAATATTGAGCACCAATCTGATCCTTTGATCCCTCAAATAGATATAGTTGAAAATCAGATCCATAAGATCTAGATTTTCTGGCTCTTTTGCTCCTACGGGGTTCAACTGTCTCACTTGGCACATCATTTGAATGATCATCCCTTAGAGATTCATCTGAATTAGGTATAGAGTCATTTGGTCTAGGTATAGAAGAGAAACAATTCTCATCAAATATGGCATCTCTCGATTCTATAATCGTGTTAATAGAAATCGAGTCATTAGGTTCTATAACATAAAACCTATAGGCCTTGGAGTGCTCAACATATCCAACAAAGACGCAAGCTACACCCTTTTCACCCAAAGTTTTCCTTTTTGGGTCCGGGAGTCTAACCACGACCTTACAGCCCCAAACACGTAGAAATGTTAAGTTGGGTCGTTTCTTATACCAAAGTTCATATGGGGTAGTTTTGTTCCTTTTATTAGGAACCCTATTTAACAAATAGCAAGCCGTTAACATAACTTGTCCCCAAAACCCTTCATTCAAACCAGAGTAAGATAACATGGCATTCACCATTTCTTTAAGAACTCTATTTTTCCTTTCAGCCACACCATTTTGTTGAGGTGTATAAGGTACCGTACTCTCA